CTTAAGACGTCAGTAATTCAAAATTCAAGTGGATTTTATTTTTTTCTTAAAGCACATTACTCCATGCCGTTTCATCTGGTGTTCACGAATCTGACCTTCTTTTTTCATTTAGACCGAGTTTTCAGGGAGAAAAACGCAAAATACTGTAAACACCTCAAAAACGCCAGAAAACTTACTTTTCAGAAAATCGCAATTATCTCTTCACCATTCAACTTTTCGATCTCACCGATGCGGTTTTCGGATTCTCCGACTAAAACTGAGCCTAGACATGTGATCTAGCTCATAATAGCAAGTATCGTATAGGCTATAGAAATTCAAAGAGCAGTGGTCCTCCGTTTTGACAATCTAATTTTCGTGTAGAATTCGGAGACGTCTGATTTTAATCAGAAATTTGCGGGATAAAATTATGCCTTACTAGGAAAGGTTTTAGTTATCTTTTAGAGTTTCTGGAAAACTGGTTTTCTAGAAATCCGTGTCTCCCGAAGTCAAAAGAAAAAATCGAGCCATCAGTATGTAGCGCGCCACCAGGCGGTTCGAATGGCATATGAATAAAGGTGCTAGATCTCCAACGAAAAAACTAGGTAGGGTTGCAAAATTAGGTCGTCAAAACGGAGGACCACTGCTCTTTGAATTGCTATANTTAGACCGAGTTTTCAGGGAGAAAAACGCAAAATACTGTAAACACCTCAAAAACACCAGAAAACTGACTTTTCAGAAAATCCCAATTATCTCTTTGAATTGCTATAGCCTATACGATACTTACTATTATGAGCTAGATCACATGTCTAGACTCAGTTTTAGTCGGAGAATCCGAAAACCGCATCGGTGAGATCGGAATGTTTAATCGTGAAGAGATAATTGGGATTTTCTGAAAAGTCAGTTTTCTGGTGTTTTTCTCCCTGAAAACTCGGTCTAAATGAAAAAAGGTCAGATTCGTGATCACCAGATGAAATGGCATGAAGTAATGTGCTTTTAAGAAAAAAATAAAATCCACCTGAATTTTGAATTACTGACGCCTTAAGTTGATACTTGATTTTTAAGCACATTTACTAGTACACATTAACAAAATATTTAATTCCGTTTCATGAGATAGAGTAAGAGAACTGACAGTACGTCTCTGCTGATAGTAGTATTGTTATATGATACCGTAAACTTACCCATTGTCCAATGACGCATCTCCAACCGATGATACAATTAGCAATCCAGGAATGACTTTTAACTAACGAATTGGATAATATTGTACAATTTTTCAAGCATACACCATCTTGAATAACAACATTAGGACCAATAACAACATTAGGACCTATGCGACATCTTTCGCCGATTTTAGCAGATGAATCCTACAAAATGGTTTTGAAAGCACAAGATAAAGACATCTGTTCGAGCACTTACCACAAGAACATTCCCAACAATACCATTTTCACGAGATAATCTATCAGAATTTGAATGACGAATATAGTTTAAATACAAACCCATTCCAGTTAAAAAATCTTTTGGTTGACCAACGTCCATCCAAAATCCTTAAACAGATGAGTAACATCAGCATTTATTATTACTAAAAATTACCAATTAGTTTTACCTTTCAATTCGTAAGCATACAATTCATTATCTTGAGCCATAACTGGAAATACTTCTTTTTCAATTGAAGTGGGTTTCAGCTAAATAAGTGACAGATTTTGTATATAGACGAAAAATCATAACAGTACAATTACCTGAATACGTTGAAGAATAGACGAATTGAATATATATAAACCAGCATTAATTTTATTTGAAACATATTCACGAGGTTTTTCAACAAAACGATGAATTTGTCCACTGTCAAAATCATAAACAACGACACCATATTTACTTGGTTCTTCTACTTTGGTAACCTTGAAAATAAAAGATAATCTTTTAAATGTATTCGATGAATATTTATGATTTAAATACATACCACAATTGTTCCTTCACGTCCATGTTTTTTGTGGAATTCAATCATTTCTTCAAATGGAAATTCACATATCACATCTGAATTTAAAACGAAAAATGGATCATTGTCTGTTTTCAAATGATCACGTGCTAACGCCAGGGGTCCCGCTAAAAAATAAAAGACGAACGTGTTTAAGTACAAGTAATGTAAAATGCATAAGAAAACACACCTGTTCCTAATGGTTCCGTTTCTTGTGATAATGTTATTTTTATATGTAAACGTTTTGCTTCGATTTCCATTTCCTGTTGCAGCATATCTGATAAATAACTAACTGCTAATATCACATGATCAACACCTACCTGTAATAAAGAATTATTGCAAAAAATCGCGCCATTGTTGTTAGAGATACTAAACGCTTACATGTGCAAGAGCTTCAATTTGATGTAGCACCATTGGCTTATTACAAAATTCAACTAGCGGTTTTGGTTTCGTCAATGTTAATGGTCTTAATCGTGTACCATAACCTCCAACTAATATGAGAGCTTTCATTTTCACGTTTTTTTCAATTTATCTGACACAAGAATTAGAGATTATTTCTAAAATAAGATGGTGTACACATACTCTTTCTCAACATAGTTCGATATTTTTAGAATAAAATTTAAAATAATGATGAATAAGCTGTAAATCTTTATTAAAATTCGTTTTATTAAAATTATATAAGTTTCAACGTCGAATAAATGATTAATACTACCTATCTATGAAAAATAGGAATATTAAATACAATGTTGTAAGAATCACTTCAATAAAAACGCATTGAACATGGCATACAACTATGTGGGAAAAGAAAAATGAATGGGCATGAAGAATAATTATTGAGAAAATTAACTTATACGGATTTCTGAAATGAGAAATTCTTTGTAGGAAAAAATATCGTACCTAAGCACTATGTATAGTTATGAAATAAAAATATGTTTTATACACAAAAATGTGGAAAAATAAGATTTATACATTACATAAAGGAAGCAATATGTCATCAAAAAATGGCGTCATTCAAATAAATTAAAAATACAAAAATAATAGAGAATATATCATCGTCAGGAGAAAAGAAATATTGATACATAATCATATTTGTATCATGCTATTATGCTAGTAAAAAGTACAAGCACGTACTTCAATAACTCAAGTTCGATTGTACTTAATAGACTTGTGTTTAATACTTTCACTAATATATTTTTTTATATCGATAACATTCTGAATAACTATTATACAGAAAAAACATCGGAAAAAATTCATTGTTGGTCATTAAATGATGACATAGTAACTCATAAAATTGTTCATCCACCTTAGTTTTCGACTTTTCTCGTCGATCATGCACTGTAAATTTCGACTTTACTGATGATATCATCCACTTTTCTAGTTTCACAGTCGGAAAAATCATCCACTTCGGTGAAGTCGAAGTTTAAAGTGTAATGGTTAGAACAATTCTAAGAAATAATTCGAATAGCTGAAGAGTTGCCAATCTGATGTGTGCGTATAAAGATTCCATCAGACTTGCTTGTAATCCAGGCCTCTGAAAATTCAAAACTTAGAACACTATGTCTCTTAATTCACTTTAATGCTTTGAAGTCATATATTACAAATGATAGCTACATTTATGTGAAATAAAAGCAAAATCTTTTCGAAAAGGTACTGTTGCACCAATATGAGAGTAGCTTTCTTTATCAGATGTTTTTTCATAACTAGAAAATAAACTTATGTAAACAACTCCTATCTACAGCGTTATCGATTAGGAGGTGGTAGGGGGTGGCAAACCATCTCCTCGTTTGGATCCAGTTACTCAAAAAAGTTTGACTTACTCAAATTTTTTAACAAAGGATGTGGGAGGATAAGCTAGTGTCGAGCACCCCAATAAAACTTACATATTCGGAATCAGCGTAAAATTCTGAGTATTTTAGCCGTCTCACTTTTCCAAAAATCGCATTTTGATTTTTATCGAAAAATTTCAGGGCAAAGGTTCCCCGCCTGGAACATCGAAAAAATTTTTTCCTCTAAAATTTTCGAAACATACCTTTTCTGACTCAGAATTTTGTGCTGATCACGAATATGGGATCTAAAGTTAGAAAAAGTAAACAGTTCGTGGAGTCGAATGCCAAAAACTGAAGGTTGGTCAAGGTCAGTCCAATTGATAGTTTGCAGGTTTTCACCAAGAAAGAGTCATTTTTTTCTGAGTGACTTAGTTACTCAGCAGGCTCGCTCCTCAAGATAATAACAATATTACTAAACTATTTACAATTCATTCGACGAATGAAGAAACAAGCGAACAAAACCACTGCAAACAACGAAAAATTGAATAATATTTAATATTTTCTGATGCAAAAACAAAAATGAATGCTCACAAACACGACATATAAATTCGAACAGAATGTTGATCTTCGACATTTTTTCTTTATAAAATTTACATTGATAAATACATCCATCCATCCACACGAATTGTATTGAAATTTTAAACCTCTATATACTAAAATTACACTAAAAATTAATTTTTGTCATACTTTTCTATTATAGTTATTGAGTCAAATTATACGTATTCTATTAAATTTAGAACGTCTAATTATGTCGATACTGTCACATTTAGTCCAAGACGGTCAGTTTTATACAGATGTGGATGACGTAGGGGATATGTAATTTTGTGATAATTGAATGGTACACACTGTTCACTTCATTCGCGTTTGTAGCAATCTTAACCAGAGATACATTTAAATAACTATCCAAATTTCTGATTTTATGCTGGTGATAACTAAAATGGGAAAAAAGTATAATTTTGTATTGGTACATGAGAGATAGACATCTATAATCTACCCATTTCCATTTGCATGGTTAAATCAACTTCCACGTATATTATTTACTTGAAAAAAGCACTTAACATGATCTCATAATAATCTAAAACACTGTAGAAATTTAAAGTTACTGTACAGTAGAAAATATTTCGTTTGGATTGTCTTTATATTACAATAAAATAAGACGATTGCAAAACAAAAGACTTCTAGGAAGTTCGTTTGCGATAAACAATCACAAAGTTGTTTCATTGATATACTGAAAGTTGATGGGATAGCACTCAGGTCAGTGAATTTTTCTTCTACTTTCAGACTATAAAGATTTTTCAATTACTGGCACATTTTATAAATTCTAAAGCATAAAACTTAATTCGTATTGTATACCATTCTTTCAAAAATCAACAAACGAAGAGTTAATATACTCGTTCACTCATTGGCCAGAAAACGAACGAATCAAACGTTCGAAATTGCTGCATAATGAACGCTTATGTATCTGTTTTACTACGTCATCTGGAACGATGTGTTGGTAAAAGAGAACGACACTTGTAAAAAGTTCCTTTTACCAGCTTATTCGACATACTCAAGTCTCAAATCATGGCATCATTTTGCTTTATACAAGCGATCATCATAGTGAAGTTGGTTAAGATTATCTGAATTTAAACGCATCATAATAATTAAATAAAACAGAACTGTTCTCTTCCCTCTGACATAAAGAGACTGCCAGTTCGAGTCTTTCATTCTGTCCGAGACGATAAGGCTTTTTAAAATCTCTTGATCCTGAACTGAATTTCCAAAAAAATATTTAAAGACAAAATTTTAAAGTAGTTATTCTTACACTTTCAAAATCAATTCGACTTATATTATGCCATTTATGAATACATCGTGCACCCAAGCAGACAAACTTTTTCGAAAACGCGTTTAAGCGCACAAAAACAGACGAAAAATCTAGAAAAAGTGGGTGTGTTTGGATGACAATCGGGGTTCCCGACTGTGAGCGGAAAACGCCCATTTTTCGCCCTTCTGGTGCGTTTAACGCGTTTTCAGCCAAAAACGCGTGTAAATACATAAAAACAAGAGAAAAAGTGGTCGTTTTTCTCATAGTCGTTACCAGTGACGCGATCATAATTAGGGTTCTCGAGATTAAACTTCGACGGTTCTCGAACTTCTTGACTTCTTGTACCAAGATCTTGGGTGAGTGCATCTTTGTACCCAAGACCCTGAAAATTCTTATAATATCGTTTTGTTTTACACTCTTGGGTAAATATAAGTGTGAATATTTTCACACTTACGAGAGAACGTTCCCAACTGACAAATTGCTTTCGGGCCGAAACCCAGTGGATAATAGGTAATTGACCATGCTGATTCCGAATATCAACATAAGACGTGCTTATAGACTTCCAGAGACTGGTTTTCTAGAAAACCAGTTTTCAAGAAACTCCAGAAAATCTCCGAAACATTTCTTAATAAGTCGTGTTTGTAGCGCGTGAAATCCTGATTAAAATGAGACATGCCCCAGCTCTACACGACCTTTCTTTGCAAAGTTATAGAATTTCCAAGAAGAACCCTAAATTCCTATTTTTTGGATATCTCTGAGCTGTTCACTCTGATACTGTCTGCTTCGAGTCAGCCACTCGTTCTCAGCTATCACTAATCGTACAGATTTGGAAAAAAAGTCATCGAGAGTGCAGGAGAGGTAGATGAAACAGTTGAAGTTATTTTTTTGATATATATTTCAGTTATTAAGTAAGACCGAAAAGTTGAGCATATTTTTAATAACTTTCTATGAGATATTTAATTGTGACACTTCATATAAATTCAGTATGAATAGTGTAGATTGATTCATTAAGTAGTCACGTGCTCCTTATTAGTCTATATTTCTGTATAGTTTGATGCATTTATAGTCTGAAACATTATTACCGATAGAATGCATCATATGTTTACTAGTAGACCATTGCAGTATTCTAATCGTATTTAAGCGATTCAAACGGTGTCTAAATTGTTTATAAGATACGTTTCACTCGATCAGGTTTCCAATCTGCCCGTAGGGTAGTTGGCATCTAATTTTTTTCCTTCTTGAACATAGTTGTTTAACACTAGAATGCCCGGAAATTTTCATAACCTAGAACGCCCAAAGAGATCATTTTGACCCTTACTGTTTTCTTAAATTTTTATAATTAAAAATGGTTTTGAATTCAAAAATGAATTAAAAATTCTGCAAAAAAAATTTTTTTGGGACAAATTAAAAGTTATGACATAATTTATTTTTAAATAATTGTACTTAGTTTGTTTTATTAGGGATAAAAATCAAAAAACGGTCACAATGACCGTCACGGGCGTTCTAGTGTTAAGAAGGAACTATGATTCTATATGGTTGTATATCTGATGGTTATGACTGCCACAAATAAAAACAAAATGTAAAGAAAATTTTCTACTTAAATGTGTGTGATTTACACAAGAGTTCAAAACAAAACAATGATTCAAGAATTTCCAAGATCTTGGGTACAACAATCCAAGATCTTGACTTCTTGGTGTTTTTTCAAGATTTTGTGACATTTCATGACCCAAGATCTTGGGTACAAGAAGTTTCACTAGGGTACATATCGAACGCGAGTTATTATAAGAAAAATGAAGATCCAAGTCCGATGCTAAGTTTAGAGTTTTAAATTCTCATCCACTCTTTAACAAAGATTTGTTTTTCTGAAAATTTCACTATTCTAATCGAATCCGCGAGTTATTACACACTTAGACCGCTACTACCCCCGAGAGCCCCGATAAAATTACTGGTGCATGCCCACTAGTACCGCAGTCAAAAAGCAGTACACTCGGATGTGTACCTTCACGGACAAAATGCCCGGCAGTGCCGCGGGCAGGATCCAAAATAAACTTTTTGCTCTAAATTTACATCTAGATAGAGCAACATCTACTCTACAAAACTAAACAAGTCCGAGACCTCTGTCTTGTTTCGTTGGGTAGCTATAGGCATTTAACTGGGACCACTTGAGCTGCCTCGGGACCGACCATTTTTAGGCTTTGGAGCCTCAGTAATATAGGCAAACATAGGTTTTCAACTATGCTGATTCTCCTGGCGATGTTTGTTTTTCGAAAAAAGTTCAAAAACCTAGTGAAACCTTATACTAGGTGAAATAACCCATTTCTGTCTATTTCATGTAAAATTAGAAAATTCATAATTCAGTCCGAATGCCAAGATATACTCTATTTTATCTGCAACATATCATGGAAGGAGCATCGAAGCGCTAAAAGCAAAGAGGAGAAGATGCTTTTAAACACTACAAAGTCATGCATGATAATTCATTCGATTCACTGCAACTTTACGGTGTCAAAAATCATCAGTATCAAATGAAATTTTGATCTTGAGTATACGAAGATTGTGTTCTATTCATTTTATTCGTGTATTATTAACTTTTCGAATATGATGGAAACATCGACTTTCCGTATTGGAAAGAATACATTATTGTTTCATGAAATCTCCATGTTTGTTTGAGTTTGTTTCATGTGTTAAGGAGAAAACGATCTTCTGCTTTAAAATCAACTTAATGTCTTGACAACTTGAAGGAAGTATAAAATTATACTGAGAAAAAGTGTTGATCCGTCTCAAATAAAATTTAGAAGATGCGTATTTTGTTGTGAAATTTTTGACAAGCGCTATACTCTGACATAGCACAAATGCTTCATCCATAGTAAGAAGCTTAGGTACTGTACTACTTAAAATTATCTTACTAAGATTATGTAAATATGGATGTACAAACTCTCGAGACCGTGCCACAAAGACCATAAAATTCTCGATAACCAAAATCCTAAGCCCAACTGAACCTTTATATCAGACTTAACCCGTTCTTTGTGCTCTATCTGAAATTAGTGCTAGAACTGTTTCAAATTGAGTAAAAGTATATTTACGGTTCGTTAAAGATGCAGAAAAAAGGTGGTTTTTATAAAGCTTTATCAAGCGTGGTATATTTTACTCAATTTGAAGCAGTTCTAGCACTAATTTCAGATAGAGCAGAGAGAACGGGTTACGTCTGATATAAAGATTCAGTTGGACTTAAGGTTTTAGATATCAAGAGTTTGCAGTCTTTGTAACACGGCACACCCTTACTTGTAAGCTCGTACTTCTTAAGACCGTGATACGACCATTAAGGTCTGAACAAGATTTAATAATTCTGTTTTCATTCATTCATTTTTAATTATGACTTGAATGATATACTTTGAATTTTTTGTGCTGTTACTGATGAAAATTTAGCAAATAAATTGAAACGTCTAGGTATAAATACTATTTGTACGAATACAAAAACAATTTTATCTCGATTTATTTAACTATTATCTAAATTTGTATATAATATCTCAAGATAAAGAAATGTTTTCATTCATTCTTTTAATCGATTCTCATGCTGCTGTATAATAAATAATACTGAAAACATGACTAAATTTAATGTTGTATTTTTCTTCCAGGCGTACTTTCTCTCTCGAAGATTTTCAACGACTGTTCAGAGAGTGTATACAATCCAAATTAGCATATAGAAATCAGCATCTAATGACATAGAACTCCTCTTTGTTCTTCAGAACTTTTCAACAGAGCTATTGAAAAACTTTTATATATTAAATATGTCACATGAAGTTTCCTGTTTAGCTAAAACTTTTTAACAGTATAAGATTTAAGTAGAAAAAGCATAACAAAAGTAGCGGTTTGAATCATTTTATTTTATTTTATTTTTATTTTATTTTAAATTTCAACGTTTCGATTTATTTAAAAAATCATTTTCAAGGATATAAGAATACAAAGTCTAACGGGATTGAGATAAATTATATATACATGTGGTGTGCAGTGCTTGTACTTTCTATTCCTTTTTTACTTTCTAATCTATTTAAGAATTAATGTTGTGGAAAAACAGTCGATAATGAGATGTAAAATAGTGTACATTGTTTTATATAAATTGATTAAATTCTTTTACCAATAAATAACTGAATACTGTAAACTAATTATCGCATTATAAGACAAACTAGATGAAAGAATCTAGGATATGTTGCAGATTATCATCTCTTGATGCATAATATAAAAAATAGTAAAGACTCGTTTATTTCGTGCTGGTTTACAATTTCCAGTTGGTAGAATTCATCACCTTCTTCATCGCGGAAATTATGCAAGAGAGCATTCCTTGTCATATATGGAATTTAAAATAAAATAAAATAAAATAAAATGATTTAAACCGCTCCTTTTGTTATGCTTTTTCTATTGAAAATTCTATCTATTAGAAATAATAATGTAAGATTTCAGACTTAAATTCGAATGTCGTTATATTAGAAAAATTGGTCAGCATTCGGACAATATGTTCAAAATAGTCTTTGTGAATTTTGATAATTTTTAGTGAGATACTAACAGATTCTTATCGAATCTTATTAAAAAAAAGATTGTGTTGATGTGTATAGAGATAAATCTGGCGTTAACTTTTTTATTTGTTACAGAACACTTATCAATTGTCTCTTCTTCTTTTTTTTGTCTCCCTACAGTTCAGTTTCTCTCGCACAGATTTGAACATATTTTTTTGCATTATTACTTATCTTCTATTATTATAAACATTATATGTTTGGTTTGCTTTTTACTGTATTATAGTCTCTATATATTTTTTCAAATAAAATGATGCTCCTCTTTTCTCTTCCATTTTTACTAAAAATTGCTTTTCCACTCATCTAGTTCACCAACTCTAAGTATACGATCTTGACATCTGAATAAGATACAACGGGACATTGCTTATTAATATATGCTGTGCTATTTTTGTTGGTACTTTGATAAGAGATCTTTTCCATTCATTCATTCATTCTTTTTCTTCCCCCTCCTTCGTCGTTTCCATTTTTATCCGACAACTAATAATAGTAATATAACGGTTTTTTTAAATTACTCCATTTAGAAGGGAAGAACAAATGAAAAAGCCGTTTTCTGTTTTTGTTCTTGAAATCAGTCTTTTCTTTCTTTTTTCTACATTTTTTCACCTTATTATTTTTTCTATTGAATATACTATTTCTCTTCTTTACTTTCAACATAATTATTAGATGTATTTTTTTTATTGTTGAACATTAATAATATCCTCTTGTTTTCTTTTCTTTTTTTTTTTCTCTAAAATTTTTTTCTTCTCTTCATATATCTATGTATACTCATCCATCTGTTCATGGAACATAAACTTATTCGTTCTCCATCACCGGATTTTTCTACACTAACGTATGATGAACTTGAACAATTGGAACAAGTGTTACGAAAACAAACTGAAATTGAATATGAACAAAATCAAAGTTTGTCAGGATTAAGAAGGACAATGATACATTTACAACAGACAATTAACGATGATAATCAACAACGTACAATATCGGAGAGTACTCCTACTAACTCTACTATGATGTCAACAACAAATTTATGTTATATTTGCTCAACAACATGCAATCAAATTAATTCATTTTCATCTTTGTCATTCTTAGAAAATCGTGAACAATTACATTATTGTCACGATTGTCAACGACTTGTTTGTCGACGATGTGGTAATTATACGAATACAGATTTAATTTTGCAATCAAATGATGAAAATCGTTCAACATCAAAATGGTGTTGTCGTATATGTCTTGTCAAACGAGAAGTTGTTAAGAAATCCGGTACATGGAATATAGGTGAGGAAAATTTTGTACACTCACCAATAAAATTATTACACAAATTAGTCACGTTTCGCACAACATCACAATCGACTAATACTTCACCGACATTATCATCACCAACGTCTACTATTCGATCGTCACCGTCAACTGAACGAAAACTATCCATTTTAGAACCCTCGAATTTTTTTTCCCGTTTATGGCGTGATGCATCTCGTTTAGCTATTACAAATCATACACCGACAATGCAACATCTTCCATTATCTTCTACTCATGAAAATGAATCATCGTTTGATCACTTATCTGACGTATACACAGTGCCTTCATCCGATCAAAATATCTCACCTCTAGCAAACATGTCACCTCCAGCAAAAATTTCATCTCCAAAAACTCGACGTATGTCATTTATGAGAGAAATAACTCGGACAGCAGACGATTTGATGTCAGGTAATAATACTACTAGTCAAACAAAGAAAAAGTTAACACAACATGCATCGAATATAATCACAGTGCCGTCTTTTAAAGATTACTTACAACCTCATCAACCAGATGATAGCTTAAGTGAAATAAAATTAGAAAGTTTTGAGCCAAATGCCTCTGGTGTTCTATGCATGATGCAACTCACTGATAAAAAACATGTATCTTGTGTTAATTACGATGAAAGACCACGAACTCTGAGTACTAATATTTACTCAGACGAACAATTTAACAATACAAAAACAACGACAACAGTTCTGACGATGCCATCGTCAAGCGATAATACATATGATCACAAAGAAAGTGCAAGATATATAGTGGAACACATTGATAGCTTATCACATCCAGAAGCAAGCATTGACTTATCAACGGTAAGTGTTTTATAAAACAACTGTATTCGAGACGTCAGACTATCCTCCACCACACATAGTATCTCTTTCTTCAAAAGAAAGGTGACATTAATAGAGTATTATTAAAATTAATGATAGATCATTGTACGATTAGCGAGACGAAAATTTGCTGTTAATAGACTGCGTGCGTCGTAAAATAGCAAAACAACAACCTTCATATTTCCGTTTGGGTTAAATGAAAACTCTCGGGTAATTTTGTTCACTTGAATTCGGGTATAAAGAACAGGAAGTTATATTTTACGCTTCTCGCTAACTATATCGTCATGAGGAAGTATTGGTTTCGCTTTAGGGAAAAAAAATCTTGCTTTATTAACAGTTTTAATTTGTTTATTTCATTCGTGATAAGTCTGAGGAGACTATCAATAATTTTCTTAATAGTTGAAAAGAAAAGAAAGATAGTTGACCATGAAGTATAAAAATCTTCTTTTTGCAGAAGTAACCCCCTCGTATAAATGCATTTATTCATAACAATTTTCTTTATTGAAACTTGTTTTGAAATTAAATTCCATTGAGACAAGATGTTTTTGATTTTTTTCTTAAATAGTAATAGTTCATATAAATTCAATTAATAAATCATCAATCAAAGATTTTCTCATAGACAGACATAAAAGTGAAACGTAAAATATCTAAATAATTCAATATTGATGCTATCGTTTCTTCTTCTTTTTTTTTTTGCTTTTGCATAAAAATACTATTTATCTATATTTTTTTTTTGCTATAAAAGATAAAAAAGAATTTATTTGATGACAAAGTTAGATCAATCCTGTTCTGTGTTGCATGATGTTCATTTGATATGACATGTTCTTATCCTTGAAATCAACTTTCTATACAAGTGAACACTTGACATTAGATGTGATTACCGGGCAAATAGATAATAGACAGCTAAATTGTATTTTTAGTTTATCGTATGTGTATGTGCTATGTATGTCAAGTATAAAATTGTAAGAAACAAAAGAGAATGACAACACAAAAATATTTTTCTAGGTCTTGTATATATCGCTATCTAGAGATCTATTTTTTTTTTTCTTTAATGAACAGAAAAATTATTCCATTTCCGACCTATATTAAAAATTTGTTTCTCATGAAACATGTCAAAAGTGAATTGAATCATAAAAACGCTAAATGACTCGATCATGATAATACAATCAAATATTTTTATAAAGATATCGAATTATCTAAACATTAAGAACACGCAACGATACATCTATCCTAACATTTAAAAATATAGAATATTCTTAAAAGACAATTCTATTAGTAAAAACATGTACACTCAAATTAACTTTGATAACATCGAATCTATTGTACATTTTCAACCATCATACAGCATATATAAACTAGATACAATGAAGTTAATTTTATACTTTATTGAATACACGTTCAAGTCCATATTCGTATACAATTGGATTTGTGTTAGTCTATAGTTTTAGAATACTATAATGGAATTTATTTCCGCCTCATGGGGAATATTTTTTGTATTTAAAAGGGCGTGTACACTCGTGAATATCGTGAAATGAACCGAAATCGCACGTGAACATCGTAAAATGATGTGTGGACATGCGTAAAAAATATATTCTACTTGTGATAACGCGTGAACTGATCACAAAAATTTTTCGCATCATTGCTAGTCACACATGGTCATTAGTGAAACGCGTGAAAAGAAATTCTCATTTGTGAACGCGTATAAAATTATAGAAGAAAGTTCACATGTGACCACGCATTTGCTGTTTAAACTGCATGAACCCAACGTTATGAAACTTTGACAAAATTTCCCCATAAGGCTTGTATTCTAGAAAATACACATGTGCAATCTAGAAATAGGTCTAATAACGAAAATGTCTAGATATTTTGTTAAATGTGTCGAATAAGAAGTAAATTTAAGAAACGTTGATACTCGGAAAAATAACAGCAGGCGGTCGTATATACAACGCACCGAATCTTCTAAAAAGACTGACTAGGAAAACACTAATAACACGCAAAAAAGAATTGAATGATTTGTTTGATTTCGAAGACTGATTACCGACCGGTTTCATTTTTATTAAAATAAAAGCTCATCAGGATATCTCTTTATAAATATTTGTAATCTAAGTCCGGGCTTAAAAGGCTTAAAATTATCACTATATAAAGAGATACCCTGATGAGTTTTTATTTTAATAAAAATGAAACCGGTCGGTTAATCAGTCTTCGAAATCAAACAAACCACTCAATTCTTTTTTGCGTGTCATTAGTGTTTTCCGAGCCAGTCTCTTTTCAAAAGATTAGGTGTGTTGTATATACGACCTGCTCTTATTTTTCCAGAATAAAATTCAAATAATTCAAATGCAAGTTCAGTGTTCAGTTGTATAACACATGCAGTCTTTTGACTGTACTCAAAGGAATATCCTTGTACTTGAAAATAATGTTTTTATTCGATCTTTCTTTCCAGGGAATAGATTATTGTTCATCATCGATGATTATGTGTGATGAAAATGAAAATGAAGATGATCATTTACAACAGAAAGCCAGTCGATCAGTACACCGAAATTCTGAGTCATGGACGAGAAAAAGAGCGCTGATGAAGAGAAATTATGAATGGACAACGACAGTAGAGGGCAAGGATGAGTCTAATAGCACAAATCAACACTGCACATCAACACCGCACTCGCCCCCTATAGCTTCCACCAGTTTAAAAAGAACAGCATGTAGTTTACCATGTGAGACAGAAAGTCCTCCGAATTCGCTGAGAAGTAAACATGAAGAAAAGCGACGGTCGAAGGATATAGAGTTTAGTTTCAACGATTATGTTGAAGAAACAAACACTTCAAATAGGAATAAGATCGTATCGGTGCTAGGAGAAAAAAGTGCTAATTATCCTTCAGACATTGGCATTTCACATAATCGATCCCCATCGCGACGTTTACCTGAAATACCAAGTAATACAAATAATAGTAAAAGTGGTAAAAATAAACGAAATATATCGAAGCAAACGCTATCATCGAATGTGGCAGCCTCATCTGGTTTCAATCAATTGAGTGATATCAGTGCACCACAAATTAGTAATGGAGATGAAATAAAGGAGAAATTTATAACACAATCAGCAACAGCACCAAATAAACATCCATCAAATGTACCACGAGAAAATTCGTTAAGTAATCGTTCAACTCGAAGTAAAAGTATTGATTCGTCCTCATCAGAAAAATATCGGCTAACACCAAAAGTACCATTACAACATACACAAAATGCAAAATCAATTGACTTATCAAATCTATCTCGGCGAAGATCATTTCTTGCTGTTGATAGTGGATTACTGTCTCAAAGGTCAATCGATTATCCTTGTATTGTAAGGTGAGCAATTTTTCTTTTACTATGATTCATGATTATCCACTGAAAATGATTTTCTAATAAGATACTAATTACATAGACTTCGACAAGTCAATAAAGTAGTTTTTTTATCTAGAAAACAACAAGATTTGTCGGATATCGTTCGTCGACGAATGTTATATTCAAAAATATCAAAACAAGATACATTTTCTTCCAGCGTCGAACGTGAACATATACCAAAAACGCCAAGAAAAATAATTATAAGACAAGATAATAGCATAGAAATTGCTTTGAGGTAGGACAAATTTATAACATTAGACTTCTCTTATAATCATTATAATCTAAAATAAAAAACTAACTCCACTTTTCTTTGTTATTATTCAAGTAAACCACCAAAACTAAGACGCCATACATTATCTGAAGATTACTATTGCGGTACTGAACCCGAGTTTTCCACCATGATAAAAGATACAACTAATTCTACATTATTACCAATACCAACACCGTCCGCAACTGGAGGTGATCGACGAAAGACAATAGAAACATGTGAAAATATATTTTTACAAGCCGAAGAAAGTTCAAAACTTCGTGCGCGTACACCACCTTCAAATCCCCATCGTATATTACTTCATCGAGACAAAAATGATCCATCGAAAAGAACAAATGGTTTAGGTATGAGAATAGTGGGCGGTCAAGAATGTGAAGATTCTAGTTTGGGTAAGTCCAGCTAGTTGAGAATAAAAACATTGCTTGAGAAACATATATTCAAGATTAAGTTATATTTCAGGATGTTTCGTTACAATGATATCATATGGAGGACCAGCTTCTGTGCAAGGAAATATTGAAGTAGGAGATCAAATACTAGAATTCAATGGTCATTCGTTGATTGATTCGACCTATGAAGAAGTTCGTACTTTACAAGACCATTGCGGTGATATTGTTCAATTGGGTAAGTCTATTTTTCGAGAAACTCTAAACGTTTTTCTTAGAATTATTTTTTCCTAGTTGTTCAACATAACAATGTTCGATTACAGATAAACGGACAAAATATGACATCATTAGAAATATCAAGACATTTTGAAACTGTTCCTCGTTTGGGTCCATCATCAACCCGAAAACGACGAAATTTATTACCATTGCCATCATCTTTGTCGTCAACATTTCCAAAACAATCAAAGAAACAATTATTTGAAACGGTAGAAACACTTGAAGTACCTAATGTCAAGGAACTGAAGCCCATTCTAATTAATAGAGGACGCCTATTAGGTATATATTCTGATTATCATTCGTAAATGAACTGATTTAAATTAAAAGATTTTCTCATATTTAGCACAAATTTGGCACGATGTTGAAGATTTAAAATTAGCTTTAACAGTAATTCAAGCAGGAAATTTACCATTGAGACCCAATGGCGATTCACCATATGCCTACATCTCGGGTAGAATGCATGTTCTAAATTATTTTTTTTTCTAAATTAAATATCCCATTATTTTAGGTAAAATGTTATTTGATGATCGTGGTTTTGATATGTTTGAAACAAAAGCAATTCATTCGTGTAATCCTGTATGTATACTTTACCAGATGTTGTCGAAAGCTATAATCTCGACTTTTAAATCCTAGGTATGGAATGAAACATTTGTCTTTCATGAAGTTGAAAAAGTGGATGTGCTACGTTTAGAAATATTTTTATGGGATAAAAAGAAACAAAACTATCATACTCATGAGGAAAATGAGGAATTTATTGGCATGGCACAATTACCGTTGATAGAGGCTAACTTAGAAGATGAACCACGCTGGTATGAATTACGTGATCGACAAATGCGAAAACCATCAACGACAAGTGTGACATTTGAACCATCTTCAAATGAAATTCAGGATAATCTAATTAAACTACCGGCACATCAAAGTATCGGACAAGACGATGATGAAAATGAATCATTAGCACGTGGATCAAATAATGGAAAATCAAAAAAGGCTTTAAAACAAAATGTAATAAATGAATCGAACGATAGACAAAGTTCATCCGGATCTCAAATCATATCGTCACGTCAAAAAAATAAAATGAATACAAATCTGCCAGAAAACAGTAAAAAAAATTCACTCACTCTTGGATTAACACCTCATCTTTTTCCCGAATATAACGTTACTCGAAATACTTTGCAACGTGCAAGTATCGGAGAAATACCATCAGCAAATGATAAATCAAAAGCAATAACGAATTCAACTAAATTAAAACGTGGTATATCCCAAGGTCTTACGCGATTATTTGTGCTGCGGCGCTTTAGCGATACGGGTTTAGGGAAATCAAACATGGTTATTGATAGTGAAGACGATGATTTAAATCTAAAAGCATTACCATGCAATACGACAAACTCGTCTAGTAATCTACCGGTTAATTTTCGTCCAAATCGTCGTCCAAGTGAGTGTGGAACACAAATACAGCCGATGAGTCCAACACTAATCTCATCTTCCCCACGAAATAGTCTCATTCCCGCTGATGTATTAATGGTAACAACGAACCCTTCAGCTCGTTCATCCATATGTCAGCAACTTCTTCCTCAAGCAGTAGTACCGTCGCCTCTCTTGTCTCCCTTTGGCCCATTACAAATGCAATTACTACCACCATACATGATGTCTTCTAGACATTCATCGATTTCTGGATCAAGAAAATCATCGGCTGCTTCGTATTGTGATAGTGAAGATGATATTGATAGATACTTTAATCAAACAATGTCCGAAAATATAGTTGAAGATGGCAACAATATACATAGTCATCAGCTCGGTGTAGCTCAAGTAGGACCAAGAAATTATGAAAATATAATCAATGATGATATGCATGTAGGACAAATTCAATTGGGTCTAATTGTAACCAAAGGTTTACTTGAAATCGATGTTATAATGGCCAGAGGACTAAAAAGGGTAGTAGATGGCAGTAACAACAACGTAAACAATGAATCAGAGCCGCCCGATACCTATGTTAAAACGTACGTCAGAAATTTTTAACACTTTGTTGAACGTGTTCAAATAATAACTCCTGTTCAAAATAGGAATGCTTACGACTAACTCTCTCATGAATAAAAATGTGCTCACGTGTGATTAATCGTGAAGAAAAAATTTACAGATAATCATGCAACAAAGAACCATTAAGGATCTTTAGTGGTTTATATGATACTTTTACCATGTGTAATTTCATGTAAAAAGTGTCCACAACCTAACCATCATTTGCTTTGTCTGTTAACTTATCTATATAAGTAACTATCACATAAAAACCTATAAAAATTATTTTGTCTCTTGTACCAACACGTATAAGTCCATACATTTTTGTCCTGGACAAAAATAAACATAATTTCTGATGCCTTTCAGATACCTTCGAACGGGCACAAGACGCGTGCAAAAACGTAAAACGGCTGTTATCAAATCTAATTTTAATCCACAATATAATACAAAATTGAATTATAACGCAAGTAATGTGATGGGTAAGAGAGTTTTTGATGTTTCTTCTGCGCTAATAAAGATTCTGCATAACGGATTGAACTTTATGCATCTAGTGCCTCTAATCTATCAAACCTAACTGGTAAACGACTATTCTTTGCATTGTAGGCCGTCGTATGCAAGTGATGGTGTGGCAACGAGCGAAAAAATTTGAAAAAAATCAATGTATCGGTGAAGCATTCATCTTGTTAGATAACTTAAATCTAACTCAACACACAATAGCATGGTATAAATTGTTTCGTGAACATACGGTAGAAAGTGATTTTTATGATTCGAGCTAATATCTCTCTCACCTTAATTTTTTTCTATTTTACGAGTCAGATTTATCAGTGCTTTGCTTGATAGTTAGTGTTATTGAGGTTAAATCAACGTTGATTTGAATTTACAGACTATTTTGAGATAGATCTTAAGATTTACTGGAGATATCACTGTAATGCTATAGTTGATAATTAATGACCTCTGATTATGCTGTTCATTCAGTCGAAAAAGAAATACATGTCTCATTCTCCGTCTTTTTGTCCATCATAAATATTTCTTCCGATCTGTAATTCGTTTTTCGACATATTCTCAAGTAATTTATAATCGAATTCTATATCTCTGCAAACTATTACAGTTTATTACTAGCAGTAATAGTTTTCATTAACTGAAACTGCCCATAACCGTAACTGTCATTGGTGCATAAATAACTGGTAAAAAAATTTCTTTATGAAAAATCTTCTATATATACACATATATATTCCTGCATTTTTATTTTGTTGCTGAGGGTGATCTATATAATAAATTGAAAACTTCTATTATTTTAATGTTGCTAATAGACGTAATATTGAACATTGATGTCATACAAGTGATATTATCATTGCTTAAGTGCCCTTCTCCTCTTTCTAGAAAAAAATCTTCATTTTTCACTTCAGCATTTTGCATTATCGAGTGAAGTGTCCTCTACAAAATAAGACCACTCCCAGCACTCCTCTACCCTCCGTTGAGGAAATAAAAGAAAATTGTGAAAGTTTGTCGCATCAAACTGAAAGAACTCTATTTCTTGAGTATTAATATTTTACTCTTCCACTTGTCGTTTTTCTAAATAGTTAGTCTTGAAGAGCAAAGAGTTGTTTATAAAATGAGATGTCTTTTAGCTCTCTACAATAATCCCTCTAAAAGCTTTGGGCATTATGCCTTTTTCAGTTATAGGATTTTTAACATTAAAAGCTGTTTTTTCCAAGGAACTCCTTTAAATCTTTTTTAATTTGAAAAGAAAAAGTCAAAGACGGAAAAAAACTTTGAGGTTATATCGTCCCATGTATCTATAATAACATTTTAAACTCGATCCGCGAGATTCTATTGTAAGAAGGTTAGGCAGAATCAAGATGTAAACCAGCTAGATAGTATCAGAAAATTAGCTGTTTAGATCTCTTGGCAAAATGTTCATAACTTTTGGAGGGAACATTGTAGAAAGTTGAAAGACATTTCATTTTATTAACAATTACAAATAACTGGTTACCAAATAATTTCATAGAAATTAAACAACTGAATTCCACATTGAACAATTCTAAAAGAAATTTTTTTCAGCAGTTACCTAGATATGATCGTTCTTTGGCATACCTTACTAGCAAATAAAATGTATAATAATAGATAAAGTATCAACATATCATTCTAAAATTATCTAGTCAATAATGTAGTTTAGATTCTAATTTTAAACTTGACTGCAACATTTTAACTTAATGTATATATATAGAACATGCAATCTCGTTTATTTCTAATTTTATCGTTTTTTTCTGTAGCGGTGTTCAACTACAGTTAAATTTACTCGCTAGGATCATACACTGTTTAGTATAAATAAACGTTTATGTTAGAGTAATGTTTAAATTGGAATATTTAATTGTATATAATTTTAAGTGTCATATAATTTTATTTTGAATATTTGTTTTTTTGTCGTATTTTTGTTTTTTTTTACGTTTATTTTTCATACAAAATGTCTTTGCCCAATGCAAAACAAAAAAATATACGAGGAGATACTGTATATTATACTACTGTACTGTTTGTTAGGAAATAAATTCATTATCCTCCAAGTCATTATTATGAACTAGATTTCTAAGCAATGTAGTCACACGGAATGGAAAACTAATTTTTTCTTGTATCTCTGAGCAATCAATTACATCGAAAACAAGTTCAGTTTTACAAATACTATGTTGAATGATGCATCCAAAATCGTTGAACTCGACGGTAGCAAATCAGTTCCATAATATCCTTTAGAAAACAGAATACATGTTAGAAACTATATTTTTATAGATTGTTTTTCTTTCTTTCGTTTTATTAAACAAAATTTAAACACAATAGGAGCGAGAATATGGAAGAAAAAAAAATGAGCGATGATAATATATCATCAAATAATACCTATCTTTTTTGTAGACAAATCGGAAAAAAAAGAAAACATATCACAGACGAAGTGATGAAAACTTAAAAATAGTTAAGTAGGTCACAATTTATATTATGAATGAAAAATAAATAACAACAAAACATTCGTTCGACTAGACTAGATATATTGGAGTAAATTGTGTGAGCAAAAAACACATGATGAGAACTGCTCGATAGATCCTGAAAGAAAAACATCAACAGTTCTCATATAAAACGAGCAATTTTTACATACATTTTTCTTAGATAAATCTGTTTTTTTATGAATTTTCTTGAAATTTAAATAAAGTTGACACCATTCGTTGCTTCATTTTGAATCGGTTGTATTAATAAATTTTGATTAACGCCCATTTCAAGAACGAGACGTGTCAATAAATCTTGTAATTGTTTATCTATTGATTGTACGAGTGTTTGTAACGACGAGTAATCAGTGCGCTTCAAATCGTATAATGAACGAGCAAAATCGAGGACAGAATCCTGAAATGAAATTGTCACTCTAATCTTTCGTCTCCGAAGAAAAATTGAAACTTTTCTACATACTTTTATAAATGTACACATTGGTTTGACTTTCGATGGTGGACCAAGAATACCCCAGGCAAAGACAGGTGACATATCTTCAATCAGTGACAAAAATGTCGTTAAAAATCCGTTATTGTACTGAAAAATACAAGAAAAAACAATAGAATTTACACAACTTTCACTCAATTATGATTTGAATAATGATGTTCCATTAAATTCAAAAATTAGGAATAAAAATACTTCAAGACAAAATTGTACCTTTACAGTTGCTCGTCTAACACGTAATGCATAGGAAACAGCTTTGTTTAATGCCTTAGAAAAAAATGTTCGTTATAACAAAAACGTATCTTCATTAAAGACCTTAGCATACCTGTTCACGAAAATTCTCAGAGAACCATTTATTTTGTAATATTGTCTTCATTGCCGATGGCGGTGAATCGAGTATTTCAAAGCCTTCAAGTAACATAAAATCAATACCAACATTATAAACTGTAGCTGACTTGATCTAAAAACAAAACAAAGTTGAATTATTAAATAACAGAAGTAAAATCTTCTTTTAGAACCCCCGCTGAGGCCATTTCTTCCATAATCATAGATGTATTTGATGGATCAGCCATAAGAGCGTTCATTTGCTCAAATGCCTGTAGAAATCGAGTCGAATCCTATAAACGTGTAAAATCGAACAGATTTATTCCAACTAAAAACACTAATTCTCATACTTTCGATGATTTTTCTAAAAATTTTTCACAAATAGCACGTGCTATTGTCTTTATATACTCCCGTTTTTCATCTCCACTAAGGACTTCCTAGAAAAAAAAAGTTTGTGCATAAAATGTTAGTCTAACCCCATAAAATGTGATTAAGTCATACATCGCACGCGTTTCGAATACAAAAAAGTTTGGCTAAATAATCTGTATCTGATGAACAAGTCAGTAATTTCGTTCTAAACAGAAAATAAGTCCATTGTGCATTTTATTTTGCATTCATTCAAAAGCACCACGAACCGTAATTTTTTGTATGGTACTTGATTTTTTTCGGCTAAACGTAGGCCATAAACGTAATAAGCTGGCATAGAATAATACGGCGATGATGGATCGAATAATATATCACTCGTTTCCAACCATTCAGCGTCCTAAATGATAAAAAACAGATCGAAATCATAGAAAGAACATAGTTGACAGCAATACTCATATTAATCTTGATCATTAATCAAAGTATAACTGTAGATTAGAATAGGAGTATAAAAAAAATTGACTATTCCATTCGCGTAAACCGACTAACAAAATCAGATAATCTTATATCCAGTCATCAAGCAATTGTACGTTATAGCTGAACTTACATCTGCACAACTTTCAAAACTATCTATCGAACGTATTGAACATAGAGAACGTCTCTCGTTGAATGTATTAAGATCATTTTGAACATTTAATGCGGTTTGCTGTTGTTGTCGAATAGATTCTTGACGATTCAATGTCGGTGATGACGTTGTGGGCGATAATAATGGCGGTGATTTGGTTCGTTTGTCAGTTGCTAAAAATAATAAATCAGGACCATCCGACGAAACATCGACTTTAGATAATAAAAATTGAAGTTTTTGCTTTAATTCAAAATGATTAGTTTTATTTAATGATGTCAATAAAAAATTTGTATTAAGATTAGTAATTTCCTTATCAGTTTGTAACAGCAAATCTGGTTGATTTTTTATAGACGGTGCTATATTATCGATATAGTTTAATGCACGATTCCAATAATCAATTGCAATATTTAAATGTTCCAGACCATGTTTATATAACTGTTCGGGTGTATGAATAAGCTCTTTTGTTAATGTATCATCCGCATTTTCCCATACTGAAAAAGAATTACAAAATCTATTATTAGTTGCATACACAACTAATAATGCACAATATTTGTTACTAACCATCTTGAGATTCAGGTCTCTCATATTCTGACGATACACGATTTTGATGTTGTAAATTCTTTCTGTTGATGGATTGAGAACGTGATCGACGATAATAGAATAGATAAAAGGCATAAGCTAAACCTAAAATAGATAAGTCATGATTTCAACATGATAGACGAGAATTTCGAGTGTGCAGTACTACAGAATAAGCATTATTTTATCACATGGGAGGTCGTTGAGCTCTCTGCAATCTATTGTTTCGATTCTGTGATTGTTTTATTAATGTCTGTGACTGAGCCTAGACTCGAACTCGGTCAAGCTCGTTAGGAGATTGTAGTTATATGAGTATAAACGTACAGGAAAAAATCGTACAAAACTTGCTTACACATCATTTTGTATAACAATGTAGGCTCTACATTTATAGAAATTCTAAAAAATTCTGTCTATCAGCAAATCACGAGAATGTTTATAAACGATGAAAAGTAGACTCATAACATCCCTTGATAATAAAATGTCCACATACTAATAGCTGCTATTGTTGCGGTCGTCGATATAATTCCAACTTTTCTCATCTGATTTGTGACGGGCATAATTGTAATTTCGCCTGAACGAGAAAAGTATTTTTTAAATGATGAAGAATACTACTTCATAAAATAATTAAATACACAGTATGATCCAATTTAGCATGCATTGCATGAAAATATGTAAAGAAATGAGAGAGAAAATTTTCATTTCATTGTGAGTTGTTGTTATTTTTGTTTAAAAGAACAACTTATGTAAACCTTACTTTTTTTTCCAGTGTGAAATGGAGATTTAAATTTTTCGTTGATTATATCAGCATATCTTTTCTAGAATAATAATCTAGTTAAAAATAAAAAATAAATGATTGGACAAAAATAATTATGGACATTATCTAAAACACACAAAATAATCAAAACTACTAAATACTGATTGTTTATTGGCTGTATTTTCTATTCTAGAATCATCTAAAAATGTGATACCATTGTATTATACCAGTCATCCTCTGATAAAGAAAAATCGGACATATGCTACACAAAACTTGCTGAATTCTTCAATCAGGAGTATTGTAAAAAATAAGTTCCAGTACTCAGAGTAAAATTTTTTATCATTCAACGTTGATTTTTTAATATCTAAAATTTACTTAAGTCATTTTCTTAGTAAAAATAAGTTATTCTATCATTAATAAATGTATCATTTTCACTCTTTGCTAAAAGAAAAAAATTTAATAAAGATATTCGTTAAGATAATGACTGTTCAGTTTGTTTTTGTTCAAAGGAAAGCGACAAAGAGGCATTTACAACTGTTTGATTTTTATGTAATAATTTCTCATCGCGTTTTCCGAATAATTTTTGTTGTATCTGTTGTTGATTTAATAAATGAATTTGTTTCTGAAGTAAAATTGCTTTTTGCAATTGTGTTTGAATATTCTAAAATAAAAAAGTTGACTCTCTGTAGAGTAAATAAATATAATCTGAACGTTTATTGACACGTACACTAAAATGACATTCGCTATTTAATATTGTTTTTACAGCTTCCATTGAATATTCAATATCAAATACGAGTCCATCAATCTGTACTTGCAAATTTTCTAATTCACGTTGTTTTTGAACTATTGCCGGATATGTTTTTCGAATATGTTCCTGAAAGATAAGTTAAAACTGCTGCTACTTTCTTATAAACTGCACACACAGAACAAAGTTAAAAAATGTTTAGAGCAAAGCAATCGCATACAAAGAATTCTTAAAACTAATTCATGATGTAAAAGCATCTGATCCAATTCTATAAACAAACGTACTTGTATCCTATAGAAGGCTAGAGATGGTTCATTTGCATTTATTTGCATTGTTTCACTTAATAATCTTATTGCAGATTGAACTTTGGCAGATGTATCAGGATCTGGACGAATAATTATATTTTTTGACATTGTCACACTTTTTTTCCTTGATGAAGTGGCCATTTTTTCTTCAAAAGTCTATAAGAATAAAAAAGTAGAATTATTATTGATCTTAAATTTTTTTTCCTATGACATCAATCACTCTTCCTATTATACCTATCAGACATGTAATAAAAAAACAAGAGATATATAAAGAGATCTCTCAATCTACTTTTTAAGAAAAGGTTTATCACTTCTTCTCATTTGTAATCAATGCATATGTGAAACATTATAGCGCGGTTTTTCCAAAGAGATCGATATTAATAAGTTAACTGCAGAAAATATGATGAAATAGTGTTGCTTTGAAAGATGAACGAGAGGACGATCACTGTGGAAAATTATTTCAAACACTTACCGTATACCAGAAAAAAGAAGATTCGATAGTTTTACAAGAGAAATGTCAAATAAAAGATAAAATACTAATTAAATATTAAGAGTGTAGTTAACGGGAGAAGAAAATGAGATCACTGTATTGCGATGATTTAAGTGACGATAGACTTAAAAGACAAATATTTCAGACGTTTGAAAGAGAGAGTTGGAAAGATCAGACCATGTATAGAATAATTAAAAGTTCTAAAGAATAACACGGACAGCAAAAAAGATTCGACGAAATGAAAGACGAAATGAACTATCATACAAGGCATAACAATAACCAACTCTAAAACGAATGCCATATAGATACGATAACGTACCTCAGTTAAACTCATGTCGGAAATATACCCCAAAGTACAAAAGTTTCATTTGCAATTCAGCTTATTCATGAAAAGTGCGAGTCCACAAAAGTCCCTAACCTACAATAACATCCAAAGGACAAACTGAAGAAGTTAAATACTTTTAAAAACGCAAAGTCTACTTTATGATTAGAAATGATGACTCACCAGTCATTCGATACGCTCACTTTCGCCGAATAAGTTAAACGACATCTACCGACATTTACCCAGTACTGAAATCGTACTACTCTTGTCACTGTCCCGGAAAAGCATACTTTTAGAAAAAGCACACTTAAATTGTGCCAATGGCATGGAAAAAGTGTGCCAAAGTATGCTTTTTATGTGCTGCCAGCATGCTTTTTTATGTGCTGCTAGCATGCTTTTACCGTGCCATTGA